TTGAATGTTTTTATGCATAAAAGTTGATATCCAATGGCACAACTTATATAAAACGGGATGTTATTTTATCACTCCTTCTGTTTACATGTTTCTCATCTCGGGTTGTAAAGATTCCGGAGATTGTCATACCGGGCTTTAAAGATTTTGGAGATTCGATTCGATTTTGTCAAATCTAATAAATGAATTAAATTAAACCAATATTCTTCGAAACCTTAATCCTTATTTTAATATTCATCATATCCGCTGTAGCTAAACCACCTGTTAACTTGCACAATTTTTGCGGAACAATTCATCAGTAAAGAAAAAATAATCCGATAATTTATTAAATCTCTAATAACCTATTCATATTCATCAGAAAATTGCAAATTGGGCGAGGCTGGAAACTTGTTGAGACCATTTGCATAACCGACCAACTTGTCAACTAGGTAACAAGATGGAAAAAACATAGGTACATATAGCGTACATGTTGGTCGCTTTTTGGGGTAGGGGTCATTTATGTGGTTGTCTCATTAATTCTTGCACCTTGTTGTACGTTAACCGCGGTTTTTGTTACGTTATTTCTGGACAGTGCTGTATATAATTCAGAAGCTTGGTATTGAAAGACTGGCGCCCGCGCGGCAGAGCAAGTGTCTTGCCGAGCAGGTGTCTTGTTTAATTGTTGTAGTTTAATTTATGTTGGCTGTATGCATACTAGTTTGGAAACAAGTGTTATGTAAAATGAGTAATTATATTCATGTCAATTTGCTTATTTTCCTTTAAAACAGGTCATTGCACCTGCCAACATAACAATATCACGCACACGAACGTAAAATTACTGTGTTAGTAAAAATGTCCCTGACTTAAATAATGATCAGGCATTTTGCCGCAAATTTAACGATACTGTTGCTCACAACTGCGAATGTCAAAGCTAGCAATTGTTCCCCGACGAATTACGACATTATATTAAAAGGTGGGCAGTTCTGCTTGTTCATAGAAATATTGTCGAGAAAACCGATTTTAATTTTCGTGGTCAATATTGTATTATAGTATATTAAGATGTATTAAGAAATTATTGCGCATACTTCATTGATAAGATATTCGACATTTCATTGCTGTTTAAAATTTAGCAAAATCTTTGTTTAAATTTTCACTAGGAGGTTCATCATTACCCAGCGATGAAATAATATCGAGACACAACGTATCATCTTCGGTGGTCATGTTGGGTTGTCACACTCACTGCAAAGAAGAGGAAAAATGTGTTGGTTTCAACTACAGAACAACAAAAGATGTTGAAAATTGTCAACTGACAAACGTCACCAACAACAGAGGCAACTCAAAGAAAGGACATTGGATATTGATGAGGGATGCTGAAGCGGTATGACGTTCTCAATTTTTGTTGTAATTGAGAGTTATTTTGAGAGAAGCGTGAACATTTTGTGAATTTTGCGGAGCTCGTAAATATGAATTAAATCGTGGTTGGCGATTGCGTACGATTTTTGCATAAGTAAGAAATTTGTCTGAATGGACGCCTTGCACTTCAGACTAAGGCGGCTCTTTAATTTAATAGTATGAATTATTTATATACTAAGAATAGAAGCATACAATACAACCTCTCGCCATTTCAAATCAAGCAAGCAATTTCCAGAGGCAGATGGACTCAAGCTTATAATCCATTTATCAACATGAAATGACTTCATTACATTTCTTGAGAACGTCTCGATGTTTTCGAAACGTGAAACGTTCGTTTCGGAACAACGCATGTTGCATTTGTGGTATAATAAATAAGATTTTGAAACAAAACAATATACAATTACTTAATGCCAGTTTCCGTGTTTGGATGGCCTGATCCAAACACGCGGGAATGTTGCGAGAGTTAAGAAAAATTCGCAATTGCTTTATAAAACAACCACGACAAGGCCTGAATTTAAATTTAAATTCTTTAAAACTTTTAAATTTCTCGTACCCAGGGCTCTTACGTTGTTTGGGCTTCGACCAATCAGAACATGCGTTGTATACATGTTATTTTATAATAGAAATTTCACAGTCGTTAGATGCTCGGGCGGCAGTCGGTGTACCCTCGTAAAGCGCTCACAATGCCTTCCCGCGCGTTTTGAAATTTCGTTTTATAGGACCATGTTTAGGCCTAACGTTCTCTATGAAGGCGAAATTTGCATTAAGAGCAATCAAAAGTTTGTGCACAAAAACTATGATTAACAGAGAATATTTTCAGCGGCGTAGCTAGCCTGACGATTTTGTCCCGCTATGTAAATTTCGAGTTATTATAATTAATCATTTCTTTAGAAATTTATTGTTTTCATGGTCAATGAACATCAAAATATTAGCATAGCAGGACAAATCGTCAGGCTAGCTACGTTACTGATTATTTTTATCCCTGTTTTGTTTTGATGCGCTCAGCATGCGGGATATTTTCAAACGGCTAACTTTAAAATAGGGAATGGGGAATGCGGGAATGGGGGATTGCGGGAATGGGGGAATTCGCGAGAATGGGGGAATGCTGGAATGGGGGAATGCGGGAATGGGGGAATGCGGGAAGGTGGGAATGCGGGAATGGGGGGATAGGGGAATGGGAGAATGCACGAATGGGGGAACAGAAGAATGGGGAAATGGGGGAGGGGGAATGCGGGAATGGGGGAACAAAGGAATGGGGGAATGGGGGTAACGGGAGTGCGGAAGTAGGGGAACAGGGACCGGGAAACAGGGGGATGGGGAAGTGGGAGGAGGGGGGAACTGATGAACGGTGAAACTGGTAAACGAGTCTGCGGGGGAACCGGGGAACCAAAGAATGGGGGAACAGGGGGATGGGGGGGACCAGGGAATGGAGAACCAGGGAACTATGGACTCATTGAGCAGCTAAACTAATAGTAACAGTCTTGAGCCTAAAAGGAACAACTGCTAATACATATTATCCACATCATAGGCGTGCATACAGTATTATGGCTCACTGCATCTAGGATACTAATTACAAATATATTTATTGTTTTTAATGCCAACCTGGCAAGTGTTAATTGTTATTGTGAAACCCAGCTGGCACTCTTGTATTAGATTTTACCAAAGTGAAAAATCATAATATAATGCCTTTCAGTAAAAATTAAAACTATAAATAGAATAATTGTATTGTTGTGTGCTAGTGTGAGAGTATTTTGCCTATAAATTATACTATTTAACCCTAAAAAATTACTAGTATATTCAGACTGGTTTACTCCACTGATTTTAGACAACAAACTTTTTGGGAAACAAATAATTATGATGAATATGTTTTTTGAAAGAAACATTTTTGGTTACAATATGAAACAACAATGTGCATTTTATGAATAACTTGGTAATTAAGTAATAAGCAATGTTTGCACTTTATAATTATTAAATACTTGATAAGAAATCCAGATATCTGCTGTATGAACCTCAAATAGCCATACAAACATTGCAATACTGAATATTATGTAGGTATATTACCTTTTAATGACATTCATTGGAATACATAAATACTTCCTGTACTACAATAAATATCTAAAATGCCCTACTTGATTATATATATATATATATATATATATATATATATATATATAATATATATATATATATGTATTTATAGGAATAAGGAATGTATGTATTACACTGGCAATGGGCCAATAGCATGCTACTCCAGAAATGAATTCTCCAAATGTTAGTTTACCTTAATTACATACCCTTTCCCCCATTTCCCATCCCTGGTTTCCTCCCTCATTCTCTTGTTCCTCCGTTCCCCTGGAAACAGGTTCTGCCGATTCCCCATTTCTCCTGCTCTCCAGTTCCACCATTTCCCCAGTTCTCCCACTCCCCATTTCTTCCATTTCCTGTTCCCCTATCCCCTAGTTCTCATGCTCCCCAGTTCCTCCTTTCCCCTGTTCCCCAGTTCCTCCATCCCCCTGTATCCTAGCTAGCTCCTCGGTTCTCATGTTCCCTGGTTCTCCTGTTATCCCCATGTGTATTATGTAATTAAGGTAAACTAACATTTGGAGAATTCACTTCTGTAGTAGCATGCCATTGACCCATTGCCAGTGCAATGCATACATTCCTTATTCCTATGAATACATATATAATCAAGTAGGGCATTTTAGATATATTTATTGTAGTACAGGAAGTATATTTATAATGTATTCCAATAAATGTCATAAAAAGGTAATATACATACATAGTAGAGCAAGTCTAGAGCAAGTCGTAGCAGCTTTTGATAGTTACTGTAACCCAAAGAGAAATGAAACCGTTGAACGTTATAGGTTTTTCTCGCGAATTCAAGAGACAAACGAGCTATTAGAACAGTTTGTTACAGATTTAAAAGTTTTAGCAGCGACCTGCAATTTCGGTAGTCTTAAAGACTCACTGGTGCGAGACCGCATAATTTGTGGTATCAGAGATAAACAACTTCGCGAAGAGTTACTAAAAGATCAGAACTTAGACCTTGAACGCTGTCTAAATGCTTGCAGAGCAGCGGAATTGTCGAAAGAGCGAAGAAAGGCACTCGAAGAAAGCGAAGTCATAAACTCGTTGCGGTACCAACCCGATAAAAGAAAGTGGAATCGGTCAACAGAAGCGAGACGAACTGAGCATTTATGAAGGAATCGTGGTTAGAGGAGAAAGGGTGGTAATCCATTTTCATTAAGGAAAGAAATGAAGAGTCGATTGCATTACGCACACAGTGGGGTTATCAGCACATTATCCGAGCCAGAGAATCTATGTATTGGCCTGGAATGAGCAGTGAAGTCCGACAGTTAGTTGAAACATGTGATGTTTGCAGAGCCTTTGATCAACAGCAGCCGAAAGAGACGTTCGTTGCTCACGAAATCCCAAATCGACCTTGGGCCAAAGTTGGAACGGACATATTCAGTTATGATAGCCGTACCTACCATTTGTGTTGACTACTATTCCTCGTTCTGGGAAATTGACCTTCTGGAGAAACCAAGTCAGTAACTATTATCCGTAAGTTGAAAGCACAGTTTGCCAGACATGGGATTCCAGAGACGTGTATGTCGGATAACGGACCTCAATACATTTCTGAGGAGTTCAAGCAATTCAGCCAGCAGTGGAAGTTTCAACACATTACCAGCTCTCCCATATATCCTCAAAGCAATGGTAAAGTCGAAGCTGCTGTGAAATCTGCCAAGACCATCATGAAGAAAGCTAAGAAGGCGGGGACCGATCCATATCTTGCTCTCCTCGAGTACAGAAATACCCCAACACAAGGGTTAGACAGCAGCCCTGTGCTGCGTCTAATGAGCAGACGCACACGTACTCCGTTACCATCGTTACCAGCATTGTTGGAGCCAGTAGTCTTTAGGAACACTTACGACAAACTTCTAAAGAATAAGGAGAAACAAGCAAACCAGTACAACCAAAGAGCAAAAGATCTACGAAAGCTATCAACTGGTGATACAGTGAGGCTCATTCCACCAGGCGACAGACAAAACCAAGCAGTGAAGGCGCGGGTAAATGGTCAAGTTGGACCTCGTTCGTTCGCAGTGGAGACAGAGAGTGGAGCGATATATCGGCGAAATCGGCGCCACCTTCGAAGAACCAAGGAAGATTTCAACCAGGCCGAATCTGCAGTTAAGTTGCACAGCGGAGTGTCTACACCATTAGATCGCGTTCCTGAGAAACCTTGTAACACACCACCTGAGAAGCTTCGTGATACACCATCGAAGCCAACGCCGGAAGTACCGCCATTACGACAATCATCGGCACCTGAACCGTCAGTGACGAACTCGAATCCATCTGCAACCGAAGGTGTTACAACAGCACAACCTCCGATCGTAACGCGCTCAGGACGAACCGTGAGGAAACCGAAGTACCTGGGTGACTATGTCCCCGAGCGGGCGCGGAGCGCCTGCGAGGGTACTAATTCCGCTCGGAGATTAGGAATTACACCCGGAACCCGGTAGAACATAGCCGAATCCAAAGTTGTCCAAATTCTTTGTCATGGACGGTCGACGTTGGGTGGTTTTGTAAGTTATGCGCATGCGCGAGTAACGTCTGGTAATCAACGAACGTTCTGATTGGCAGACAGAAAGTTTGTATTTCAATGAGAACGTCAGCAATTTAAATTAACTGTCATTTCGTAATTCGTATTTGGTAAACATTTTTGTAATTTGTAAAAGCGTTTCATAAACTTTGTGCAAAGAAAGTAAAACGAGAAGAAACAAGATATATGAAGCATGACAGTTAGGAAAGATGAACGTGGATACGGTCAAGACAAAGCCGTGTAAGAGGAATAATTCATAATCTGCAAACTTATAAATGTTTTCAAAGACAAAGGGTACGTGTTTACTTTGTTTATTTCGTATTTGTTTCGCGATAAGAAAGCCGTATTTGTATACTTTTCAGCTTTGTATTCCGTTTATTTGTTAAATTTTCAGCTTTTTATGTTTTGCAGAATCTCCAATCGATCCCGCGCACACTGGTCCACGTAAAAAACCACTCAGGGGACTGTATTCTATCGTTTATTTAAAGATTCTATTTACAGCGTGAGTTCATGCTTCCTCTACGATCTGACTCAAAAGTTGTATCAAAATTCAATGCAAGCGTTAATTAATAGTGCTATATTACATTACAACGTGTCTTTGTGCCGAATCAACAATGTGTCCTTGTGACGTATTTACAAACAACTAAACTATATTTACATAAAGTGCTCACGTAACTGCTGCACGCGGAACTGGCGGCGCTGCGCGGGGACCTACAACATCCCACCCACCTTGATTCATACACGTCTATGAATCAAGCATCACCCTTGTCTTCGCTTTTGAAATCTCAGCAGCAGCTCGTCTCGGACGCTCATGCAGATCATGCAAGGAACCCTCTGCCTCACCTGAAGGGGAATTCCCTTCCGTCCCGTTCCCACCCGGTCGAGCTTGAATTTCCAACGGGTAAAGTTTCTGCACCGGTCTTTTCAGGTAAACTGGTTTACCCTTTCCTGCTATTCTTAACTTAGCTCCCCTAACCTCGCTGTCATTTCCTAAAATTAGCTGTTCTACCTTCCCTAGTTTCCACTTGCCTCGCTTCTCTCCTTCTCCATAAACTACAACTACTTCGCCCTCCTTCAAACTTCTTGCCTTTCGATTACCACTTCTATGAAACTCTCGTAACCCTATGAGATACTCACTTTGCCATCTGGTCCAGAAATGTTGTAATTTCAATGTAATATATTTGAATCTTTCTCCACAACTACTTTCCTCCTAGCTACCTCCCTCCGTGGTATGAAATTAATTGCTCTTCCGTAAATTAAGTGTGATGGCGTTAATACATCGCCTTCGAATTCTTCATATTCTTCTGTCAATGGTCTGGAATTTAATGTGCCTTCTATCTCTACTAATACTGTGTTAAGTTCATCTACTGTTAATTTGGCATTGCCTAAAACCTTCCTGAGGCATCGTTTAACACTCCTAACCATTCGCTCGAAAAACCCTCCCCACCAAGGCGATCTTTCTAAGTTAAACCTCCAAGTTACTCGCTTCGTTAATAATTCTGCTTTTACTTTAGGTTGATTAAACAACTTCTTTACTGCTCTCTCTGCTGCCTTAAACGTCTTGGCGTTGTCTGACACTATTAGGCTCGGCATTCCTCTCCTCGCTGCAAATCTTCTCATGCAACACAGAAATGTCTCCGCAGACAAATCACGCACTAGCTCTAAATGTATTGCTCGAGTCACACAACAGGAAAATAATGCGATATACGCCTTCTTGGATGCCTTGGTGCAACACCTAACAAACAATGGACCTGCAAAATCTACTCCCACATTAGAAAAAGGAGCAGCTTCCTTCACTCGAAAGCCTGGTAAATCTGCCATCTGTCTCCCCCCATATGCCCTTCCTTCTAATTTCTTACAGGTGACGCATTTACCTATAACTCGCTTTACCATTTGCCTTCCCTTCACGACCCAATATTTCGTCCTTAGCCTGCCCAAGGTTGCCCTAACCCCACAATGGTGCACTTCACTGTGACATTTTCTGACAATCAGCTCAGTTAATCTATTATCCTTGGGAATAATGATTGGGTGTTTCGTGTTGTACTCTAGCTCAGAGTTACGCAGTCTACCCTTACATCTTATGATACCTCCTTCTTCCATCAAGCCTAGACTGTTACTAATCTGGGCGTACTTTTTAGCCTCCTTTAACTCTGCCTGAGCCTGTTTAATCCATCTATTTTCCGCCTCGTCAAGCTCCTCTACTGTCAATTCTCCACAGCGCTTTTCCATGCCCTTAGACTTTGCTCGTGCATTGAACCCAAACCTAAGTACCCATGCTGTTACTCTGAAAAGTCGTTCCGCTGTCCCATAATCCTCCAGATTTATCACTTTGCTTATACTAGCTAACTCTTTACTACTAGCTACGACCATTACGGAAGACTTTCGTTCTTCTTCTAAGACCGTACTTGTTTTGGCAGCAGCCTCAAATTTCGGCCACTCCTCCTTAGACCTAATAAGCCAATCAGGCCCCACCCACCATAGCTTGTTATCCTTCAATTGTGAAGCAACTACACCCCTAGACCCTATATCCGCGGGATTTTCCACCCCAGGACAATGTCCCCAATCCTCCTTGTTTGTTAATTTCAGGATTTCATTTACTCTGTGGCGGACGAATTGTTTCCACTCACCGTTGTTCATTATCCAGTAGAGTGCTGTCATGCTATCAAGCCACAACTTCGTATTATCTATACTAACCTGGTTTTCTAATGAATCTTTCACTGACTTTAGTAACTGCGCTAAGAGCCTCGCAGACATTAACTCTAACCTTGGAATGCTAGTTGTTTTAAGAGGTGCTACTCTTACCTTTGATGTTAACATGCGGACATAACTTCCTACATTTGTATAATAAACAACATATACTACCGCACAATATGCTTTCTTACTAGCGTCGCCAAACCCATGTAATGTGCACCCTAAAACCTCTTCCGCTGGATTGGTATATGCATCGAGGAATAGTGATTTCCTTGGTCTCAATCAAATCCCTATACCAGATTTCCCACTTTCTTAAAGGCTCTTCCTTAAAGCTGTCGTCCCAACCCGTCTTACTATTACAAACCTCCTGGAATAAGATCTTGGCACTAACTATCAATGGACTTATTATCCCTAGAGGATCGAACAAACTGGCTAAAATGCTCAGGAGGTTCCGCTTTGTTGGCGATAACGTCTCTGCCTTTTCTCCCACCTTGGAAATTTCAAATTTCAGTTCGTCCTTGTGGTTATCCCACACCTGCCCTAAAACCTTATGGCCCTTTGACTCACCCCCTACTGCTCCCAAAGATAACCTAGCATATGTTTCCTGATCATTGATGCTTTGTTCTGACGAACCCTGATCTTTTTCGTGAATCTCTAGTTTACTCCTTAACACCTCACTGTTGGTCAACCACTTCCTTAATCTAAAACCCCCTTGTGCCATTCTTGTCTTAGCCTTATCATAAAGTTCAAAGGTCTTCTCTACCGTACTCTCACCACTGACCAGGTCGTCAACGTAAAAACTTTCCTGCAACTTTCTTACAAATGCAGCATCTATTTCGTTATACTTTGTTAAATGATGCCTTAAGGTTGCATTCAGTAGAAATGGTGATGCATTCACTCCAAAAACTACTCTACAAAACCTATAAACAACTATCTCCAACTTATCACTTTCTATATCATTGACCCACAAAAATCTCAAACAATCTCTATCCGCCTTATCTACTTCAACATTCAAAAATGCCTTTTCTATGTCACCAACTAAAGCAATCCTATTTTCTCTGAACCGTATTAATATGCTGTATAATAATGGATTGAGAGAAGGCCCAACATGTAGGCAGTCGTTAAGCGATGTCCCAGACTTACCTTCCTTGGATGATGCGTCATAGACGATCCGGAGTTTAGTGGTCACTGCCTCCCTGCGAATACTGCCTGGTGTGGTAAATAATGAACCCTTTCAACCTTCTCTAATGCAGATACTGGCTCCACTATCCCTCGCTCTACCTGGTCTCTGATGATAGAATCATACTCTGCTAACAATGCTGGCTCTTTCCTCAGTCGTCGCAGCTGACCCTTCATTCTACTTAAGCTATTTGCATAGTTGTCAGGCAACTTCTTATGGCTCTCCTTCCAGGGCAGTTTGACTGAATATCTACTTCCTGTAAATGATATTTCATCTAAAAACTCTTCATGTACCTTATCTTCCTCACTAATGCCTAACCCTTCAAAACTCCATAATTTTTGCACATTACTCTCCAAACTGTCTTCACTACTCAATCTCTGTGCTACAAAATTCACTTGGACTGGCTCCGCTCTCTCAATGTCTTGTACTCTCAGCGGTCCTGATAAAACCCACCCTAATCTGTTTCTATAGCAACAGGTTCTCCTGATTTTACCTCTCTTGGTTGTCCCTGTCTGAAGCTCCAAAGGTAGTCTGCCCCTATCAGAACATCTACTTCTAACTCATCTTCTGACTTAGAAACATCTGAAAACCATATACCTTCCAGATGTTTATACTCCCTCCGTGCTATCTCTACATGGCTATTTCCTATGCTACATATTTCCGGCACTACAAATGCTTCCAGTGTGATAACCTTATTTCCGTTAAGAGGTTCAAGCTTTAATTCAACCACTTCCCTGTGCTCGGCTTTTACGCATTTTTGACCGAACGTATTAATTCCTAACAATTCCCTTCTATACCCTGGGATTCGCGAGACCAGCTGCTTTGGAAGTAACAAAGGAACGATGACTTCCCGCGTCAAAGAGGACCCGCACCTTAACCACCCTTTCCCCCTTAAAACGCCACGTGCAGTCTGCAAGGCAACCAGGCTACCAGTTCCAGCATGCAAGTTACTATTAGGAGTAGTCACATGCACATTCGTGTTATTGGGTACGTTTTTACATTCGTCATTAGGCTTGGGTATTTCGTCATGCTTACCCTCGCTCTTAGGACTCATTTCGCACAGTGCAACATGATGAGCCCCATCACAAACACTACATTTGTTCTCGACCTTACAACTACTGGCTCTATGACCCTTAGACAAACAAACAAAACATCTACCGTATTTGCGAGCCAAACTCTTTCGTGTCTTCGGATCCTTTACTCCCTCACAGTTCTCGTGTTTGTGGATCTTCAGGCAGAAAGCACAGTTTCCCTTCCTTTCACTCGCTATTAACGTGGATGCAGTTCCATGTTGTTGACCATATTTTCTACCCGACGCCGAACTCCCATCGTTTCTTTCGTACTCTCGACCCGACCGATCCCACCGCATCGTGCGCTTCACGTAGTTCGAGCTCTTTCTCAAAGGCTTGTAGCATTTCCTCCATTGACCACTCCAGGAAGTTCTGCCCTCTCGTAATAGTCAAGCGAAACTGCTCGGGCAGCTTCTCCATGATCGTCGGAACAACAATAGCGGAATACGAGTTCTCGTTCACCCCCAGGGCTCTCAAGGCGCGGTTATTCGTTTCGCAGCTGTCAAACAACTTCCGTAGTCTCTGCGTGTCCCTTTCTTTGTAAACTGCCGGCAGTTGTATGAGTTCATTCACGTGTGCTCGTTGAACTATGCTTTTCTTTTCAACCGTTTCTTTAGCAATTCCACTGCACAGTTGTAGTTTGTCCCTGTTAACGCTAAGCCGGCAATTGTAGACTTCGCTGGTCCTTCCAAATATCCGCGCAATATGCAAACTTGTCAACGTCAGACAATGCGTCATTGTTGTCTATCGAGCTTGAAAACCCGTCCCAAAACTCGGGCCACTCACATACTTTACCGTTGAAGTTCTTAAGCTTTAGTTTCGGAAGCTTTGCTCTGACGATCTTTCCCGTACTGGCTGTCGATATACGGCTCTGGTCTAGGTTTCCTTCGTCTGGCGTCGTCAACAATGGCAGTCTTTGTTCACCGGATTCCCGCAGCGCGTCGTCGATTTTCATCAATGTCCTTTCAAATTCTGCGACCGCTTCGTCTGAACTTTCGACCTCTTTATTGAGCTGTGCTTCGGCGTCTTCATCTCCCGAGGCGCTTAGTATGTCAATGATCTGTTCATCGAGTTCCTTTAGCCTCTTGACTTTCTCTCGTAACGTGACCTGGCTTTGTCTCAGCCATGTCAAATCCCTTTCTGCTTTCTCGTCAATCGCTCTCGGAATCGTTTCAACTATCTTCGCTACAAGTTTACTAGCCGAAGCTCTATGAGCTCCTCTCACCCGTCTTTTCTTCGTCAGATCGTCCATACCTTTCGTTGTTCCACTTCACGCTAAATCTTTTGCACACGACGGCAGCGCAAATATCACTCGCTCTTTGTCCGCAGCCTCGTTCACCTTTCACAAATCCGGCTCGAAGGACCACTGTTTTGCAGAATCTCCAATCGATCCCGCGCACACTGGTCCACGTAAAAAACCACTCAGGGGACTGTATTCTATCGTTTATTTAAAGATTCTATTTACAGCGTGAGTTCATGCTTCCTCTACGATCTGACTCAAAAGTTGTATCAAAATTCAATGCAAGCGTTAATTAATAGTGCTATATTACATTACAACGTGTCTTTGTGCCGAATCAACAATGTGTCCTTGTGACGTATTTACAAACAACTAAACTATATTTACATAAAGTGCTCACGTAACTGCTGCACGCGGAACTGGCGGCGCTGCGCGGGGACCTACAACATTATGCAAACGCATAAACCTGTGAAAGGCTATTACACCTTTGCTTTAACTTCAAAAAGTGTTTTTGAAAGAGTAATTTGAATTTTGGTATCAAAAATACACACTATATTTATAAAGTATAAAACTTTTAGCCGCCGGTGTCGACTGCAATTACAGAATGAAATAACATTTGAAGTTTTTTCTTTGTCTGTGAAGATTTTGTACTGTTTTAATCGTTTGAAACTTCGATTTTAAATCGTTACTTAATTGCTGGCATGGTATAAATATAATGCAGCAAAATTGAACGGGCAATGTTTACACTAGCTTTATGATTATTTTTGTATTGAATGATGGAAACATTAGCTATAATATACTCGGTAAAATATAATAGGACTGATTTGAGTTTTGTGTCATTTCATAATATAAGTTTAGGTCAGGGGTTGCGAGGTCAAATAGCGAGGGGTTGCTGCATGCATGTATTTCTAGTATAACTATAATTACTCCGGCGTCAGCGACGGAGTTGAAAATTCGCCCTGGTTTTGTTTTGTTGTTTTTTTTGTTTTTTTTTTTTTTTTTTTCGTCGTCGCAAGTCTGAAATGGCGGGAAACATTCTAGTAATTAAAGTGTGTATGTGACTGTATTTATGTACGTCCCAGTCTTATCTCCTAAGAGTTGTGGTGCACACCTTTGGCTAATTTTCCGATGATACGGCAATTCCTTCAAGAGGAACAAATAAACCGTTGTTTTCATGCTCTTCGATTAAGTTTAGATTGAATTGGAGTAAGAATATATTTAATACATGTAGATTCTGGTCCTATTTTAATAGTATCGCTGCTATTTCGCCGTTTAACAAGATGATGTGGTCGTGTATGGGCGCGTTGACACGTCGTAGTTTGCACAGGATTGAAGATATAATATATAAGCGCGAATTCCAAAGGCTAAGTGTGAGACAAAGCGAATGTATCATGCGGTTTGTTTACATTTTCGAACAATTGAACTTCTATACTTTTTAAAGTACGATGTGCTGCTGAATTTCGCGATCGAACATTTAGCTTCGTAAGGCATCTAAATGCGAATATGAACTGTATTGTTTATGTTCAGAAGCTCTATATTAAAGACTGGCACGTGTGCCGGAGTTAACGCCAGAACAGGCGTCTTGTTGTTAATTAAACCATCTCTTTAAATTAGTACTTTATTAATAGGTAACAGACTTTGCGTTATTCTGTGTAATCGCATAAACGTTGATTTAGATGATATACACTCGGAGGACTGATGGAGTAGCAATTGTGGACATTGATTTGCGAACATATACGATATGTGTAATTTGTTGTTTTATAAAGAAGAAGGGATGTTACAATAGGTTATGTAAAAATGTTAATAAGTTTATAAGTATGTATGAATTCGTAATTAGGTGTATTTGGTGTATTTAAGCTCGTGTATTTGTCAGGACATTTATTATTAAATTAGCTCGGTTAACAGCGAACTAAACAACGCGCACCCCACACATTACACGCACTTATTTCAGTGTTCGCGCATTCTCAGGCAAAATTCCCACCTCTTGCCGGCGATCACTTTGTCTGCTGTACGATTACATCGCTGGCTGCAAACTAAATCGGCAAATTAAACTTGTTGGCATGTTCACACGAGCAAATAAAACTTGTCAAAGAAAAACTTTTTTAGAAAATATTTTATTGTACATACACATGTGCAATTGCCAATTAAAACTTGTCATATAAAAACTTGTCATAAAAAAATTGCTCGTCTGTAAGAGGCTTTATTCGTTGAAGGCGAGGTGATTATCGGAGAATATACATCGGGCTGAAGTTTAAGCAATTGAATTGTTTCTGTCGAAATTTGAACCAGTAAAGACTGGTTGTGGTATCAGCAACGCGTATTCATTAACGGTTGAAGCTGAAAGTTTGTATTTCATTTAGAACATCAGCAAATAATTTCACTGTCATATGGATTTTAATTAGGCAAACTATTGTGTAAAACCATTTCACAAAAGGAAATGAGCAAAATTATATCTGACCTAAGTTAATGTTTCGTCACCATACTCGGGGATTTAGTACCTTTGTTTTGATTTAATTGGTTGCAATGTAACAGAGCTATATATACCTTGATAGAATCTAAATGCGTCCAAAATTTATAGGTTGGTGGATACAATAATCCTGGAAAATCGTGTTTCGACATTTCTGAACGGGCAAAAACCACATCGTTGGGAAATGGAGAATACTGGATTAAATTGGATGAAAAAAAACTAAAAGTATACTGTGACATGAAAGTCGATGGAGGTATTATTTAGTTTTAATTTCTACTTTGCAAAATGGTGCTATCTTCCTAAAATTTTTCCTGGGCCCCTCGATCTGAGGAAAGTGCGCAAAGAGTAAAAAATTTTTTAAAAGCTTTAAGAAGAGACTGGGAAATTAAGGCATGCTGACATCTTAAGCAATCAAGTGCTTTCCTATTGAAGCTTCGTAAACACGTTCAACTTTCGTCTAAAAGAGGCTTAGGTGCTTTTTCCTTACAGGACGGAGTTCTCTGTTTTTACAACCCATTATCAGACCTAGTGTGTACTTTTTTTCTCATTTTAACAACATTCAGAAGCGCTTGAACTTATCGAAATTGAGAGAGCTAATGGATTTTGTCTAATTTCGTAGGTGGTTGGACTATGGTGAGCAACCTTGTTTTGAAACAGCCAAAAGGAATGAATTGGACCCTGGCAAATGATTATCAACGAATCAGTGAATACGAAAAACAAAAGCTCGCTCTCTCGACAGAAGCTCTTCGTGACTGGGATCGAAAATGTCTTTCAATCAAATCAGATTTTTCTGTCGCAAAAAGATTCCAGGACGAATCTTTGATATCGCTACAAATAAAACCAACAGTCTTGGTCAAGAAGTTATTAAGTATTTTACTACTCAGGCAAACACCCCTTCCAAGAGCTGTGGATCTTATTATCGTTTACCTGATGACAATTCAATTCTAGCCAGTCAGTGTTCTCAGTGGGGTCGTGAATCAGATACCTTTTATGTTGGTGAATGGCATAATGCTCATCATGATCATCAGGAGTTTTGGAGTGTCAAAAGTCGTTTGTTTAATCATACCGTCTTTGTTGGTTACAAAGCTCACTGGCTAACTAGTCAATCATTAGAGCGTTGGGAATGCGACGATTTTAAATTTAAACCGAACTCAAAATACACATTTATCACACCAACGATTTTTGGAAGATTTTCGTTCGATAAACTGGCGTCTGTAGTAGACTATATTTTACAAATATCCTTACGATAATTATATGCATTTCAGTGCACTTAAAGTTCTATTCTAATGTATATTATTATGCATGATGTACCAGTCAGAATTTATCATCCTCTAGATGTTTGACGTTATTTTACTTTCTATGCAATAATTTAGGAATAAAATAATGCGGATATTCTGACACGTAGAATTTCACTGTAAAATTAATTTTGAGTGGTAAGACTCACTTGTTGTATTAAATTGTTTTACACCGGCAAAATTTTTCACAGGCTAAATGCAAATTTTTGCACAAAATAACTATACGCACTAGTCATAATTATAAATACGAATGAGTTCGCAAGAGTGAAAAAATACCCTTCGCGAGTAGAGGTATTCTAG